TAAAGATTTATTTATTGTGTATACAATGTTCTGCTGCATGTATGCCTGCAGGCCAGAAGAGGGCACCAGATCTCCTTACAGATGGTTATGAGCCACCATGTGATTGCTGGGAATTGAACTCCAGACCTCTGGACGAGCAGTCAGTGCCCTTAACTGCTGAACCATCTCTCCAGCCCCAAACTGTTATCTCTTAAGCCTTCCTGTATCCTGAATCGTCTGATGATTACAAATAAAACCACTCCACTGTTTATAGATTATCACTATTGTTGTTGTAGCTATTTTGGTGCTGGAGATGGACCTAGTGTTTTGTGTGTACTAACATATACTTCTACACCCTGTATCAATTTTCTTTAAAAAAAAAAAGCAATATTTATTTAGTGTGTGTGTAGAGGTCAAAGGCCAACTTGTGGGGGTCGGTCCTTTGCTTCCACCATGTGGGTCCCAGGGATCAACCTCAGGTGGTCAGGCCTGGCAACAGGTTCCTGTACCCACAAGTCATCGCACTGCCTACCCCATTCTGTCTTTCTTTTATTTTTCTTTTTTTATTTATTTATGTAGTTGTTTTTAGACACAGTCTCACTACCGTAGCCTTGTCTGGCCTTGACCTCACTACTAGACCAGGATGACCTTGAACTAATAGAGATTGGAATGGCTCTGCCCCCCAAGTGCCAAGATTAAAGGCACGCGTGATCACCATCACCATGACTGGTTCCATGCAGACCTGGAGTTAGATGCATCTTATTTCATGCTTTGCAGGAAAGTACATCCCTGGGCCAGAGAAGTGGCTCAAGAGGTGGCACTTGATGCTCTTCCAGAGGACCTGGGTTTGATTTCCAGTACCCACATGACTGCTCCCTACGGTCTGTAACTCCAGTTCCTGGAGTTCTGATGCCCTCTTCTGGGCTCTTTGAGCACTGCATACACACTGTGCACAGATATATGCAGTCACAACACTAATACCCATAAAATAATAAAGTTTTTTAGCTGGGCATGGGGTGGCACATGCCTTTGATACCAGCAGCACTCAGGAGGCAGAGGCAGGTGGATCTCTGAGTTCAAGACCAGCCTGGTCAAAAAAAAAAAAAAAAAAGGACCAGCCTGGTCAAAAAAAAAAAAAAAAAAAAGGACCAGCCTGGTCTACAGAGTGAGTTCCAGGACAGTCAGAGCTACACAGAGAAGCCCTGTCAAAAACAAAACAAAAAAAAACAAAAAAAAACAACAACAAAAAAAAACCACCTTCAGTTTTTGTTGTTGACACAGCCCCCAAGTGCTGGGATTACAGGCATGTGCCATCTCACCTGGTGGTAGGGTTTTTTGTTTGTCATCGCTGAGGTCTGAAGGCGGGCACGCATGACAAGAATCTTCTGATAAGCTACATTCCCAGCCCCTCCAGCCTTTCTAGAGGAACAATTTCAAGAGCTAGGTAAGTCCAGGACAGGCTCCATAGCTACACTGAAACCCTGTCTCGAAAAACTGAAGAAAGAAAAAAGAGAGAGAGAGAGAGAGAGAGAGAGAGAGAAATGCCTCCATAAGCTTGAGCCATAGTAGGCAGGCCTGTAGTGCACCTTTCTTTCTTTCTTCTTTTCTTCTTCTTTTTGCTTTGTTTTGTTTCTTTGTTTTGTTTTTCCGAGATAGGGTTTCTCTGTGAAACAGTCCAACTATCCTGGAACTCACTCTGTAGACCAGGGTGGACTCAAACTCACAGAGATCCACCTGCCTCTGCTTCCCAAGTGCTGGGATTAAAGGTGTGCACCAATGCCCAGCCATATGGCAATTTTTAAATTTGTGATTGATGGGGGAGGCTCCAGCCCATTGTGCATGGTGCCATCCCCTGGACTGGTGGTCATGGGTTCTGTAAGAGCAGGCTGAGCAAGTCGTGGGGAGCAAACAAGTAAGCAGCCCCCCTAACACCCTTACACCCCCCCATCAGCTCCTGCCTCCAGTTCCTGTCCTGACTTCCTTCAAGGATGGGCTACAATATGGAAATGTGAACAAATAAACCCTTCCCTCCCCAAGTTGCTTTGGTCATGGTGTGAAGCAGCATGTCAGTCACCCTGACTAGGACACCCACGTTGTCAACTGTACATATCATCATTAATTAGAGAGTAATTAGCGGGTGATACAATCAAGAACCTCTGTGGGAGATCGGGAATCCAGCATTCTAGGGTGGTTCCTAACAGGACTGGGAAGTTGGAACAATTCCCTTTGTTACCATTAGGTGTCACTCTAGTCTAGACAGCCCGGAGCGGTCTTGGCGGTTGTAAAGGAAGACGGCTGTTGGCTCCAAAAATGGATTTGACCTCGCTGCTGGGACTTGCCGCTCTTCGAGTGCCAGGAAACAGTGTTTGCCAGGGCCCAGCCACGGAGGACGGAGGAAATATCCAGTTGCATCCCATGCAACGGAAACCCTGCTTCCCTGGAACCAAAACAGAAACCGGAGCGAACAGCCCTCCCTTCTCACCCTCCTCACCTCGGAATCTTAGTTCGCAAGTTTCGATACTTTGTGGTTCCAAAAGAACAGAACCAATGTTTTCCCGCGTGTTTAGTAAGCTCCATAGCTGCGTTTTCCCCGTTCCTTCTTGAGTGAAACGTAGCTTTGGTCCCTTTGGCTTTAGGTCCCAGAGCAGGACCTAGGTTCTCTGGAAGTTTCAATTGTTACAGGTTCTGGAAGACACAGTGGCAAGGTTTAGATCGAATGTCCTTTTCCCCTCTTTCTTTCTTTTTCTCTTTCTTTCTTTCCTTAATTTCTTTCTTCTTCTCTTTCTTTCTTTCTTTCTTTCTCCTCCTCCTCCTCTTCTTCTTTTGAGAAAAGTCTCCCCCCCTCTATACACACACACACACACACACACACACACACACAGGCCTCAAATGCGTAGTCCCCCTGGGTGAAGGTACTGCTGTTTGACAGGATCTCATGTAGTCCAGCATAATTTAGAACTCATTATGCAGTTGAAGTTGACTCTGAACTCCACCTTCCTGCTTCTACCTGCCAAGCTTCGGGATCACAGGCCTGTACCACCAGGACTGGCTAGGGCCCTTCTGTCTGGCCAGGATCTTCAGTGCCTGAAGGTTTTACACCAAGACGAAACAATACATATTGTGTTTTTCATTTGAACCCAATATAAACTCCTTTAAAAATGATAGCAAAGTCAGGTGGTGGTGGTGGCACATTCCTTTAAGCCCAGCACTCAGGAGGCAGTGGCAGGTGGATTTCTGTGAGTTCAAAGACAGCTTGATTTACAGAGCTTGTTCCAGGACAGCTGGAGCGGTTACATGGAGAAAAACCTGTCCCCCCCCCCTCCCAAAAAAAAAAAGTTTGTGTTCGCTTCCCACAGCTCAGTTGGTAGGGTGCTCGCTGAACAAGAATGAAATCCTGGTGTAGATGCCGGGCACCACATGAGACTAGCCATGGTGGCACACGTCTGTAGTCCCAGTACTCAAGAGGTAGCGCCAGGAGGATCAGAAGTTCAAGGCCATCCTTGGCTATAATAGCCAGTGCAAGGTTATCTTGGAATAAACAGACTTTTGCCTCCAGAAAAGGGAAGGGCCTCACTTTAAAAAAAAAAAAATAACATCATTGTTATTACAAGGTCATGACCTGGAGGAAATTATCAGTCAGGATCTGGAGGTAAATGAACAACCTGAACCAGGTTTTTCCAGGGACCAATGTCTGCTTGAGCAGCTTGACCACAGAGGGAGAAGGCTACGTGATGTGAGGGAAACCAATCGCTCTGGTGGTAACAGACATGGTTTATTGGCTGTGTGTCATAGAAAATAGAGCCAAAGGCTTGAACTGACAGCTAGAATGTCAAGACCTGTTGCGCTTGCCTGTAACCCTTCATATGCTAATACGCAAGTGAGGAGAGAAGGAACTGGCAGCAAAGTTTATGTATGGAGGGGGTGTTTGTTTGTACTTCTTTTTCAAGACAGGGTTTCTCTCCCCAGAACTCGCTTTATAGACCAGGCTGACCTTGAATTCACAGAGATCTGTCTGTCTCTGCCTCCTAAGCGCTAGGATTAAAGGCATGTGCCACCTGTCTGTCCAGTCTTGATCCAGGACAGGCTCCAAAGCTAGAGAAACCCTGTCTCAAAAAACCAAGAAAGAAAGAAAGAAAAAAAATCCTTCCATTTTCCCCTAGCTGATTATGTCAGATGTGTAAAAAGCCTTCAGAAATGGGGGGACCCCTTTTCCGCTCTGCCTCAAGTTGCAAGGGTGAAACAGTTTGCTCCCAAGTTTTGCTGGCAGCTTTTCTGGAGCTACAGATCAACCAGCTCTCAAATGTTTGGCTCTGCCTGAGACACCAAATCCCCATCCTCTCCCAAATTAACATGAACATTAGATTCTTAGGATAATTAAATCTCTGTAAGCATCATGAGCTAAAATCAATATAAATACCAGAACTGCCTGGCAACCAGAGGGGACAGCATTACTTACCCTTATATTTGTGTGTGTCAGATGGGGAAGAGCGTTTGCTTTATATAGCTGTGTTTATGTAGACACAGAGAGATGCGCTGGACAAGCAGCTTCCATACACGGAAGATGAAAGAGATGTGACAGGTACAGACTATGCCCGCAGCCAACGAGTCCACCAGTGATGGAGGAAGGTCATTGGCTAATAAAGGAACTGCCCTGGCCCATTTTATTGGTTAGGACATAGGTAAGTGGAGTAAACAGATCAAAATGCTGGGAGGAAGAGGAAGTGAGGTCAGAGACTCCACCGCTCTGCTCTCGGGAGCAGACGCCTCAGGGAGACCCATACTCCCAGCTCCCAGGCAGACACACGCCATGAAGCTCGACCCAGGATGGACTAGGCTAGAATCTTCCCGGTAAGACCGGTGCTCACCGATTATTAGAGATGGGTTGATCGGGATATCAGAATTAGCCAGTAAGGGCTAGGGCAGAAGGGCCAAGCAGTGCTTAAAAGAATACAGTGTCTGTGTAATTATTTTGGGGCATAAGCTAGCCATGTGGGCGGCCGGGTGTGGGGGACGCAGCCCTGCCGCCCCATATTACTTCACACCAGGTTCTTGTCTTCATGGGGACCTGGTGTGCAATGGCTACACACAGCAGCCCCGTTGGTAGCGTTGGCAGTCTCTTGCCTATCTGAGCTGTCCTAAGGGACTTTGGAGACAGCTTTCTGGTAGATATTCCTATCTCTGATCACAATGTTGTCCCCAGTGTAGATTCTAGACAGGTGTTCAGCATGTCTCTGGGAAGCTCCAGGGCACAGTGACTAGGCCAGGTCACCATGTCCATCTGTACCAACCTGTGGAATAAGGAACATAAGTTTGAGAGTTCAAGTTCCTTGGCCGTCAGAAGATCCACATCTCAAAGAAGTGGGGTTTCATCAAGTGTAGATGAACTGAGGACTTGGGAGCTGAGAAGCAATTCATCCCTGACAACGATGGGGTGAAATATGTCCCTAATCGCGATCCCCTGGACAAGTGGCGGTTCTGAGCTTCTGAGGGCTTCCACTGTGCTGCGTCCTACAATGCCACCAAGTCATTTTCAGTAATAACTTTCACATCTAGTCTGCCAAAAGAAGCAAAACAAAACAAAAAAAAATAGTAGCTGATTCTATAAGGAGGCAGGCTTGGTGCCATGCATCTGAAGTCCCATCACTCAGGATGCTGCAATAGGAGGATTGTTGTCTTTGAGGTTGGCCTGGGACATAAAATGAGATTTAATAGATTTATTCATTTTATTTTATGTGTGAGTGTTTTTCCTGTATGTATGTCTGTAGAGTGTCTCCTGCTTGCTTAGTGTCTGCAGAGGTCCGAAGAAGGCATTGGATCCCCTGGAACTGGAATTACAGATGGTTGTGAACCATTATGTGGATGCTGAAAGTTGAACCCAGGTCCTCTGCAAGAGCAACAAGTTCTCTTAGCCCCTGAGTCAGCTCTCCAGCCCTAGTGAGACTCTAATGTGTGTTTATGAGTGTGTGTGTGTAATATATATGCTATAAGGTATAACTCTGTGGTAGAAGACTCATCTAAAATACATAAGATTCTGAGGAGAGAAAGGAATGAAGGAAAGAAGGAGTGGGCTGTGAGGGAGTCATCCCTGATACTGTAAACATAAAAGGTTCATCCGTCTGGACCTCAAGGATCAGAGACAGAAGTTAGACATGACCGTCAGCGGAAGAAGAAAGAACTGGATGGGATTGTCTTTGGTGTTAAAGGGGGAAAGTGGGTTTGGGGAGATGACTCAGTTAGTAAAAGAGCCTGCCACCCAAACAAGAGAACCTACATTCGGATCACATATAAAAATCCAGGCACTGAACTGCACATCTGTCTTCTCACATCTGGAGAGGCAGAGAGAGGAAGCGCTCAGGGTTGGCTGCTTAACTAGTCTAGCCAAATTGTCGACTTCGGGTTCAGTGAGAGACCCTGTCTCAAAAAAGAAGGTAAAGAACAATTGAAAAAGGGCATTTATGCCGGGTGGTGGTGGCACACACCTTTAATACCAGCACTCGGGAGGCAGAGGTAGGAGGATTCTGTGAGTTTGAGGCCAGCCTGGTCTATATGAACTAATTCCAGAACAGCTAGGGCTGTTAAACAGAGAAAGCCTGTCTTGAAACCCCCCCCCCCAAAAAAAAAAGAAAAGAAAAAAAAAAGAAAAAGGGCAATTAGGACTGGAGAGACGGCTCGTGGTTAAGAGGACTGACTGCTCTTCCAGAGGACGCAGGTTCAGTTCCCGGCACCCACATGACGGCTCACAACTACCTGTGACTCCAGTTGCAGGAGACCCGACACGCATGTCAAAACACCAATGTACCAAATGAGGAGCAGAAGGCGGGAGAACATGAGCAAGGAAGTCAGGACCGCGAGGGGTGTGCCCACCCACTCAGATGGTGGGGCTGATCTAATGGGAACTCACCAAGGCCAGCTGGACTGGGACGGATGGAGCATGTGATCAAACCGGACTCTCTGAACATGGCAGACGATGAGGGTTGACCGAGAAGTCAAGGACAATGGCACTGAGTTTTGATCCTGCTGCACGTACTGGCTTTGTGGGAGCCTAGTCTGTTTGGATGCTCACCTTCCTAGACCTGGACAGAGGGGGAGGACCTTGGACTTCCCACAGGGCAGGGAATCCTGACTGCTCTTTGGACTGGGGGGGGGGGGGGAGATGAGGAGGGAAGTGGGAGGAGGGGAGGAGGTATAATTCTTTAATAAAAAAATTAATTAAAAAAAACCGATGTACACAAACGGAAAATAAACATACATACAATAAAAATAAATATATTTTATTTATTTATTTATTTATTTATTTTGGTTTTTCGAGACAGGGTTTCTCTGTGGCTTTGGAGCCTGTCCTGGAACTAGCTCTGTAGACCAGGCTGGTCTCGAACTCACAGAGATACGCCTACCTCTGCCTCCTGAGTGCTGGGATTAAAGGCGTGCGCCACCATCGCCTGGCCTAAAAATAAATATATTTAAAAAAAAAATAAACAGGGATTTAACATTAACTTCTGACCTACACATGCGCGTGCGCACACACACATTCTAGAGTGTCAGTGTTGTGTTCCTTGTTGGGAACTAGACATGTTCTAGCTTAGTGTGTTCAGGAAAGCTCCAAGTGGGATTTCCTTTTGTTGGAATGTTTTCATTAATTATTAGTGTGTGCATGTGTGTGTGCACAATCTTTGTGTGTGCATGCGTGTGTCACGGCTCTCTACCTCTCTCCCTTTTTAAAAATATGCTTGTTGAATGCTGGACTGTGTTTCTGAGGTTGCAGACTCGCTTTCAGTTGGGGTGATTAGGTCTGTTTGTTTGGCAGGACACTGGGGACATGTCACTTCCCTTAGCTCCCTATATAAACACACAAGCAGTTGGCCTATTAACAGCATGACGGCAAATAGCCCTGTTTGTCCCATAAACAGGTGCCCTTAGGACTGAAACTGGGTTAAGTTCACCAAACCCATCTAACATGAGATCTCATTTTGAAGCTAGCAAGATGGTTCATTTAGCAATGGGACTTTCCAGCAAATCTGATTGGCAGGCTGAGGTCGATACCTGCCGCGGTAGAAAGAGAAAACCAACTCACCCAAGTTGTCCTTTGACCTTCCCACGTATGCTGCGGGTGCTTGTACTCACACATGTGCACACGCACAAACACACACAAACACGCACACACACAAACAAAACAAAACCCTCAGCGAAACACATTCTGTCGCACAGAAATACACCCCAACAGCCAGGGAGAATATAGGACGGGACCCTTGGGTTTTTATATAAGTTAGTGTTCCCTCTACCCTCTCCTTGAGACCCCAGCAGCTGAAGGAGAAGCTATGTGACCTCAAGTATCTGTGTCCAAGAGGCAAGAAGAGAACCTAAAGCAAGGGGAATGCAGACAATGTGGGCTTGGCGAGCGGAGAATGTCGGGCACGAGCCACCGTCCAGAGTTCAGATCTGCAAGCCTGGCTTAGCCCCTCCCTGACACCCTTCGTGAAAGATGAAGCCAACAGACTCCCCAAGAGGGGATCTTTGCTCCGGGAGTTGTGGTTCCTGCTTCTGAATCATATTGCTTTTCTGAGCCCACGTGTCTTATTATAGCCAGAAAGATTTCACCCCGTCTGGCACAGGCCATAGAGAAGTAAACATGCTGTCAAAATACTCCCTGTACTCAGGGTCCGATAGGAGGGCACAGACAGCTGCTTTTATTATCAGACCACTCCGCCACAGGCTTAGCAAGGCATTTTGTTTGTATCTTTGCTTTTCTGGTACTGGGGGTAGAACCCATTGCCTTGGGTATGGTGGACAAGTACCCTCCCACAGAGTTATAACTCCAAATCTCTTTTTACTTTTGACTTTTGAGGTCACATCTCCTTAGGTTGCCCCGGCTAACCTAGAATCCACTGTGCAACCCAAGCCAACCTTGAACTTGAGACCCTCCTGCTTCAGCTACCCAAACAACTGAGATAACAGGACTGCACCTCCAGGCCCAGCTCGTGACAACACTCCAATCCAGTGCTCTTCAAGAGGAATTTCCTATGAAAGTTGATTTTTTGTTTTATTTTGTTTTTCGAGACAGGGTTTCTCTGTGCAGCCCTGGCTGTCCTGGAACTCACTCTGTAGACCAGGCTGGCCTTGAACTCAGAGATCCACTTTCCTCTGCCTCGATTAAAGGTGTGTGCTTCCACTGCCCAGCTGACTTTTTTTTTTTTTTTTTTTGGTTTTTCGAGACAGGGTTTCTCTGTGGCTTTGGAGCCTGTCCTGGAACTAGCTCTGTAGGCCAGGCTGGTCTCGAACTCACAGAGATCCGCCTGCCTCTGCCTCCCGAGTGCTGGGATTAAAGGCGTGCGCAACCATCGCCCGGCCCCAGCTGACTTTTTAACTCAGTCATTTAATGTGGTATACTGTGAACCTGTCCCCAAGTGGAAGTCATCTGTTTTTCAATAATCACAGAGATTTCATGAAACACATTGTCAGATTTATGGGGTTCATTTGATGAACTCTGTTGACGGATTGATGCAGTCTGATATACTAAAAGATGTGATATTTTATTTATGCTCTAGTAAATAAAGCTTGCCTGAAGATTAGAGGGCAGAGCTAGCCATTAGTTAACCATAGAAGCCAGGCAGTGGTGGCACACACCTTTAATCCCAGCACTAGGGAGGTGGAGACAGGAATATAAAGTGGGTGGAGACAGGATCTCAAGCCCATTCATTCTGATTGCAGAGTTAGGAGCTCTCGGCCATTGGATCTGAGTATTCTGTAGAAGTAAGAACTAGTGGCTGGCAGCCCTGCTTCTCTGAGCTTAAGACCAGTTAGAATTTGCGCTACATCTGGCACCCAATGAGGTGCTGGGACTCGCTGCTTCTTCCACCCTGGCCTGACCACAGCAGAGGGCATCTGTTGCAGTCATGTCTGCTGCGATTGCAGCTCTAGCTGCTTCGTATGGTTTGGGTTCAGGGTCTGAATCGGACTCCGACAGTGAGGGCAGTCTGTGTCCGCTGCCAGCCTCCGGCTCTCTCATGCACTTGACCAAATCGCCTTCAGCCAAGCCCTCTCAGACAGTGGCAGTGACTGGGCACTGGAGGTGGCAGTTGAGAAAGATTTGGAGATTGGAGTTCACCTTGACCCTGTTGTCAAAGAATTCAATATAATCCTACCTTTGAGATTGCTCCTAT